CATTCAATCAACTCATCTAAATAGATCATATTATTTTGAATGGAAAAAGCGCATACAATTGAAATTTGAGCAAATAACGAATTGATTCGGATCCCTTGAAGCAGTTCATATGCTTTCCGTGAATAAGCTTTGATTCTGAATGCAGGTATGAAGAGAAGTTGAAAATTGGACGCAGAATGGGTATTAAGAAGGGGATTCTAACCGGTGCATCGCTTGGTGTTTTCCTCGCATTCCTCTTCTCGTCGTTTGGCCTTGCGTTCTGGTAAGTTGCAAACGGTCTTGAGCCTAATGGATACTTCACAATATTGTCTTCATTCCATCTTTTAGTGTCGTGAGAATGTGAAATGCTATTAATCTTGCACAGAGACATGCTATTTGGAAACTAATATTGCAATCATTTGGAGGTATGGTTCAACGTTGATCACGTCTGGTGAACTGCAACCGGGCGCAGTTTTCACAGTGTTTCTAGCCGTGATGAGTGGTACAGCGTCAGTGGGCATGATTGCACCTCAAGTGACACTTTTTGTCACGGCCAAAAGTGCAGCTGCACCAATTTACGCTATTATCGATCGGGTTTGTTCCATTCTTTGCTGATTGATCCAGTATTTTTGGAGTTATCAATGGGTATCAAGTATCTGAATTGCCTTATAATTGCTTTTTTAGATGGCAATGGATCCTATGAAGTATTTATCAAAAACATTTTGTTGGATTGCCTTTCTTCTTACTCGCAAGATTTCTTTCGACTGATTCCTTTAAACACACATGCGATTCTTTATTATTTCTAAAAAACAAGTGATGTACTAATCAAAATGTATCATTGCAAATTTCGTCTGTAATTATGATAAAGTATGAGGAATCTAACTCCATTTCAGGTACCCCCAATAGACAGCTATTCAAATGCTGGTATTCGACCTGCGTCTGTGGAAGGCAGAGTGAAATTTGAAAATATCTCATTTCAGTATCCGAATCGGGACAAAAATGTGAGCGATTGATGCAATTACCTCATGCATGCGTAGTAAATTTGTTTTTTTTTTTGTTGATAAAGTAATCCCATCAGGTTTAGGTTATCGATAATGTGAGCATTGATATAGAACCTGGTAAAACGATAGCGTTGGTTGGACACAGTGGATGTGGCAAGAGCACTTTAATCAGTTTATTACTACGCTATTATGATACCAACTCTGGATCGGTAAGTTCTCACTTAAGATGGTATTCACTGGAAAAGATGAGGATGTCATAGTATGCTCGAAAAATAATGAATGTACCTCTGGTTGCGGTTCATGTCGCTTGATATCAGCTTCGATTCGGTTGTTTTCAGATCAAAGTAGACGGCGAGGACATAAGAAATTTGAATCTGGATTGGCTTCGGAACATCATCGGAGTGGTATCACAAGAGCCGATCCTTTTCAATGTGTCAATTGCTGAAAATCTCAGGTCCTTCAATTCTGTTCCGTTTTTGGTTCATGAAAATGCGAAGAAATTTTATTTTTTACGCACAATTTTTGATGATGTTAATGATTCTGCGTAAAAAATGTGACTGTGATATGTATTATAATATATGTCATAAGATATTGCAGTGTATAAAGTAAGTATTTTTGAATGACATTCATTATTTAAGATGAGTAGAGATATTGTTTGATGTTTGTTCTTGGTGAATGAATCAGACAGAATTGTTTCAGACTTGGTCGTGAAGATCTGCTGATTAGTGAAATGGTGAACGTTTGTAAAATTGCAAACGCTCACGACTTTATCATGGATCTACCACAGGTCAGTAGACTCAAATCAGTTCATGATGTTGAAATTTAATAATGAAAATGAGTTGTATGAAAAGGTGTGCGATACTTTTTGATACAATCGTCCACATTCGGTTGAGATAAGATACAAATGGAAAATCGCTTGTCATCTTCAGCACTGCACAGTATTTTAACAACGAATTCAAGTGACTTTCTAATTGAGAAGCTATTGATAAGACAGGCCATCGAGATCGCCTTGAACGGAGCCGATTTCTTTAGAAGGAGCATCAAAAAGTCATCTTCGAAAGTATGAACTATCGAGAGGAATTCAAATGTTTTGATTTTGGTCCATAAAATTTGATAGTTCAGGGCTACGATACGTTGATAGGTGAAGGTGGTATACAGCTGTCGGGCGGTCAAAAACAACGAATCGCTATTGCAAGAGCACTGGCCAGGAATCCACGAATTTTGCTGCTGGACGAGGCAACCAGTGCATTGGACGTAGAGAGTGAACATGTCGTACAGGAAGCACTTGACAAAGTATTCGTTCATTTTGGTGTAATTTGCTTGGAATGTCTTCCAGATTTCGGGAATTGAACAGTCCTAGATCTGGGCACATCGTTCTACTAACAAAAAAAAATCTATAGAAAAGATTTTTACAGTTCGGATGAGCTGAAGTTGCTTTGTGAATTCATCTTCTTGCAGTTCGAAAGTTTCGCTGATGCTAGACTTGAGCATATCTAATATTTAAAATGGGTTTGAATTTTTGAGCAAATTTNGGGCAGTACTTATGATCGGATTACTTCTTCAGATTACAAATATATCCACTCATCTTTCTAGTTTCTGATTTTGATACTGGAACTGTAAATTGTGTTGAGCATTGTTCAGGCTTCAGAAGGACGTACCACCTTAGTGATAGCACATCGTCTATCAACCATCAAAGATGCTGATCAAATAATCGTCATGCAGGTTTGTACCGCGTGATTCTCCTTAGAAGCATAAGAAGAGTTCAGTGGTCAGTGTCTTAATATGATGATTGCGTATGGTTTGACTGATACAGATGCTGTTGCTTCAATGGACACTGAATTGCATCAGGTCACGGGCCACTAATTCAAATCGATCAAATTCCTTCATTTTAAGTGGTTTAACGCGATATTTACCATTATCAGGACGGTAAAGTGGTCGAGACAGGAACGCATGTTGAGCTGATTGCAGTCGAAAACGGTGTCTACAGGCAACTCGTTGATTCGCAAGCGATGAATGAACCAAAAGATACGTCAGGCAAAACATCGCATGAGAAGAAATCAACAAGTAAGAATGCATTAAGAATTAGACCAGTGATTGATCAATTTCGATTAGAACACTTGATCATGCGCGGTGTTTCGAACGATTGAATTTCAGTACGAAGGCATGTATCAGTTGTTGAACCATCTGCAACGGAGGCAGCTATTCATATGCATGATAAAGACGGTGAACTATCGGATGGCTCGGAAATAATGGCATTATCAAAGCTATCCAAGTAAGTGCCGGTGTCGCCGATTTTTTTGCAGTTTGATTCCACGATTGCGCTCAATGGGAAAGGATGCAGTTGAGTATCGGATAATTCCATTGTGAAATTTACTTGATGAATCGGAATGAATGCATTCATTCATCATGAGCTATTGTCAGATCAACATTACAACGGCGGAAAATTAGTGCGAAATTTACACGAAGCGTTTCGAAACCAGACGAGCAAGTGGATCGACTGAAAGAGGAACTTGTTGAAGAAGGCGCACGAAAAGCGACCTGGAAAGAGATTCTGCATGAAGCAAAGTCAGTTCGTATTGTAGAATTTTGAAATGAACTAGAAAGATCAGTAGTATTAACCAGTCGTTTTCAATTACTATTAGTTTCATTGGAAATGGAGGATGATTTACGGCGATTTGGTTACGTTTGATGCATTTTATTTGAAGTGAATTTTTTTGGAGTAGAGAAATAATGAGAGTGATATTTCAGAGGCGAATACTGCTTATTACTAACGGCGATTCTGTTCTCGATTCTGCGTGGCCTCATGATGCCCGTATTCTCAATTGTTTTCGGACAAATGTTCCAGGTATGCTGATCCTAAATGCCCAGAAGGCAGTGGTATAGCCAGAATTTCTTCAAGAAGCAAAGGCACAAAATGGTTTAGTCGCAGAAAGCGGCTGAATTTCAAGGCGAATTTCTTTCCATGTTTAGATACGTCTGGGCCTGAAATTATCAAATTTCATCAATAGAATTTTCGTGTTGGAAGCATGACCGATCGCATGCTATATCTATGATTTAGTTATGTTGATACTCTAATAATCAGTTTCGGTTTTGTTAGACATTCACGATGACCGACCAAAATGCGATGAGTAAATCTGCGTTGAAGAATTCTCTGTTCTTCGTTGGTCTCGGTATAATTCAAGGCACAGCGGCGTTCATTTGCGTTAGTTTCATAACCTTTGAGCATTTTGTTGTCCAATTCCTCAAATCTCAGTTTCCTCACTCAATACGCAGAACTATGTTGTACCTGTGACGTATTAACGAGGATACTCTTCAGATCTCACTTTATGGAACCGCGGGTGAACGACTCACAATGAAATTGCGAATGTCGGTATTTCGGAGTCTGTTGCGTCAGGATCTTGCATATTTTGATGATTCCAGGCATTCTGCAGCAAAGATGACGACTCGTTTGGCCACGGATGCGCCGAATGTTAAATCTGTAAGTGGCTGCCGCTAAGCCTTGAAGATTATCGAGAATGCTATCATGAGATTCTAATGATACTATTTCTGATTCGCTGATTCCAGTGTAACACTCTCATTTACCCATCGTGGACGATTTCAATTAGTCTCTGATTATCAAAAGTATAATTTAATCTATAGAGCAGTCAACTGAATGTAACTTGTATCGTATAGACTTGATTATTAATGTTTGGAACCCAAATTGTAGACTTCATACCCGTCAGTGACCTGAGTGGCAACAGAAGCTATTTTCTGAAACCTTCCCAGGAAGGTGTACACTTTTATCAGCTTCTCCACATTACAGGCGATTGATCAACGCATGGCCTCAATTGTGCAAGGATGCGTATCGCTAACTTCCGGTTTAGTAATCTCATTCTTGTTCGGATGGCAAATGTCATTGGCCACGGTGGCAATCTTCGTCATTCTTCTTGGAATTCAAATTCTATTGAATCGTATTATCCAAGCACGAGATCATCGTGATGTGCGACATGCCGAAGAAGCGGGCAAGGTAATGACCTGATCTAGCTGATTGCTCACAGCATCGAACAATGAAGCATTTGCATGTGAAATTTTACTGCCTCCTGAGATGATGATATTCATTTGCTTTTTTAGATTGCAATTGAATCAATTGAGCATGCACGTACCGTTCAAGCGCTTACCAAGCAGACTTATCTCTGTGATCAATTCGTTACTGCAATGGATAAAACATTCAAGTGAGTATGTTGAATTCTTTCAGCAAAATTTGTGTATCTTGAATCCACAATTATTTATCACATATGTAAACAATGCTCAATATGAAAGTGTTTCTCGAGTGGTTTGTAATATTTTATGATAATATGATAAATTTTCAGAAGTCAACTGCTCAAAGCTCAACTTCAAGCGTCAGTTTACGGTCTTGCCTCATCACTGTCACTGTTCATTTCTGGTGGTGCCTATGGATTTGGTGTCTACCTTATCACATTGGGCCTTATGACACCGTATCAAGTTTATCAGTAAGCTTAAGGCTTATATTCAATCTCACACCATGATCTGATTTCATTTCACGTTTTGCTCGCATCTCTCCTTTTGATTGTTTATTTTCTATTAGTTGACTTTAAGATTCCCTGCTGCATTTTTTCCAATGTAGATTAAGCGAAATCAGCGAAAATCTTGATTTCTTCGATCTTTAAGAGTGATCACTTCGTTGAATATGTCAACAATGGGTGTTATGAATATGGCCGCTTTCTTGCCCGAGATCCTTAAGGCACGCATGGCTGGTGGTTTGATTTTCGCGATCATCCGTCGTGAACCATCCATTGACATTACCTCACGCAAAGGCCTTAAAGAAGTGAGTTTTTGCTATTGTGAAGAATATATCAATGGTTGTTCAGAGATGTGTACGATGTCATCTCCAACAAATGACCAGTGCTGATGAATGCTGAAAACGATCGACGCAACTGTGTTTTTTTCGGGGAGAATATTTAGAACTGAGAACAATGGAAGTCACTTC